AGAATTGTAGTTAAACATTTAATGATATAACAATGTAAACTGTATGTTAATATTATAATATAATGTAGTACATATTATGTAGTATCTTAGCTAAAATACTAATCTGACATAAATATAATATCAAATATTTTTGTAAAATAATTTAAAACATTGTTAATTATTAAATTAAAATATAAATATTTGTAAAGCAATTTACATACCAATTACTGCCAACAAAATAAACAGCTTCATGATTAGTGATTTAATTGTTATTTTTAACAAAATAACTTGTTTAACTCAAAATGGTAGAGATCTAAGAGTTCTAACTCAAGATTGAATAAACATATGTTATTTTTCATATAAGTTGTTATAATTAATTAAAATTATAAACTAACTTTATTAAATTTTTACATAAAAATCCAACAAAACTATTCAAATTACTCTTTAAAAATTGATTTATTTAGTTTTGTAGATATAATTTACATTAACTAATTTTTACTGCAGTTCAATATGGGCAATACAGTTACGCTAATCATTGGTATGACGTACAGTATGTCTACCATATGTTGATAATAAATTAAACCGATATCGAGTACAAATTTTATAAAATACTGACCAGACATACAATAAAAAACTAAAATCTCTCACAAAATATTTAATAATTTAGGGTAAATAATAATATATAACATAATTATACAAAATATGTATTTTTATTTTGAAAGTAAAAGTTAAAATTCAAATTATTTTCTTTAAACATTAAATGCACACAACAATTAAAACAGCCATTGTAGGGGTAACAATAATTATAGCGCAAAATCCGCGTACTTGGTAAATATTTTCACAAGCGACACGACAATAGATTTGTGTTTCGCATCAGGGTACTTCTCGCCGAGTTCGCACTTGGCGTCCGCTTTCACACCGAGATGTTCCTCAGCTCTGGTCACCATTGAGGGAAAGACTGAAATACGTTCGCGAGTAGACTCTCTGAATCCAAGTGTGTCGTCGTGCATATTCAGAACATCCTCCCAGAATTTCTTTACAATACTGTTTATTCACGTATTCAATAAATATGTTAATTATTTAATTAAACAATTAGCACACACTCACACACACACACACACACTCACACACACACACACACACACACCCTTTTGTTTGCAATTGTATGCGTGTAGTCATCGTAAAAATATTACCTTCTCATTTCCCTAACACCCCCTTCTCATAGCAGATATAGATTATCTGAATATTATTTCTATTCAAAAGTTACATATTAATTTAAAATTTAAGTATTACCCTAGATTTAAGCTGAAATCCCATAATAAATACCATAGAGGGGATGGGGGAAGAGGTAAGGGAATCTATAAAAGTATTTATTCATATAGAATTGTAGTTAAACATTTAATGATATAACAATGTAAACTGTATGTTAATATTATAATATAATGTAGTACATATTATGTAGTATCTTAGCTAAAATACTAATCTGACATAAATATAATATCAAATAAAAATAGAATTAAATTTATCATAAAATAAATGTTACACTTTTGGATATAAATGACATACTTATAATCAATACATTCAAATATAAATAGATATAAACATACCATAGTGCTTCGCCCAAGTTAACTTTAGTTTGGTTGGCAGCATCAGTTAGATAACCTAGAACACGATCGCGTAGTTTTTTCGATTCGACCACTTTCGAATTGAGTATTGAGCAGTATTTCAACATGGTGTCATTTTGCAGTTTGCAGTAGTTATTAACTTTCTCGTAGAACGAAATGGTAGGGCTCTCCAAAATCACGTCACGGAGTATGGGTTTTAGGTAACCCACATATTTCATGCCGTGCAATATATCCCAAAACCTAGGTGGTTTGAAAAATGGTCAATTAGTTAATTGTTATAATAACAATTATTAAGTATGTTCAATGTTTATAGTAATTTAATATCTAAAATGTTTGTATTATTTATTTATAAAATTTAAAATGTTGTATAATGTGTTATAGTCAATCCATGGAAAGTCAAAATACTTCTCTTTGGATTAAATTTTGGCAAAATACTTTGCATGGACTAGACTTTAACTTTACTTTGAAAGTTAGAATTTTGCCTCGACTTTAAGAGTAAGTTTCCTTCCGTGGACGAGACTTAACTTAACTTACAAGGTAAACTAAACAGTGAATGTGGCTTAACTGGGTGGAGACTAAATAAATGCCATGTGTTTGTAAACAAAAACAAATA